AGGCCCAAAAACCAGTTCTTTTAAAAGACTAGTAAAATTGACAAACCTCTGGAAACACAATCAAGAGAAAAAAAGATACAAATAATCAATTCCAGGAATGAAAAAGAGGACATAACTACAGATAAAACAGGGATTTTAAAGAAAATAAAAATATTTGAACAATTTATTGGCAAAAAAGGTAAATTTTTAGAAAAACTTAACTCTAAAATTCTCAAGAAAATCAGAATAGCCCCTAAAACCAATCAAAATACACACTACACACATAATAATCCCACTTCACAAGGTGAATGTGACTACATATTCAAGGAATACAAACTCTTCTGGGGTGAGAAAAAGTCATTAAATCCCAGGATTGGGATATCCTAGGATTTCCCCTGGGTAAATCCCAGGAAGGCAAGAATTCTTTTACATTAGAAAATCTATCAATTTAATTTACCACATTAAGAGATTAAGAAAACCATATGATCATCTCAAAAGATGCAGATTTTACTACTGTTCAAGAAAGCTTACTTAAAAAAAAAGAGAAAAAGGCACATTCCATTATATTCATTGTCATTTTTATTGGGCTACACCGTCATAAAGCATACATGATGGACAGGTCATATAAACGACTATATCAACAATAATTAATGGTTGTATAGCACTTGATAGCTTACAAGTCACTTTACACCAATTATGTACCTAATCTAGCCACTCTCAAGTAGATATTACATTTTAAAAAATATATAAATGAGGAAACAGATTTAAAAGAATGAAGTAATTTGTCCCAAATCCCAATTATTTTAATTCTTTATTTTATTGGTACTCTATGATATCATGTGTTATGTATCAAATTCAAATGAATAGATATCTACATATAGATAATACATAGTGGAAAAAAACCCCAAAATTCTGAATCCAATTCTCCAGTGGTTCTCACCTGCTCTTGGAACAAAAATACAAATAAAAATGTTTAAATTAACCTCATAGTTTATACTCTTAGTCGTATCTATCTTTCCTTCTCAAGTCCGAAATCTACAATTAAACACTGGTGTTTCCCCAACTTAAAAACTATAGCTTGTGCAAAGCTAGATGAAGCTTGCAGCCTCGTAGTTTCTACCTACCAAGTTGGCAGCTTATCTTGGTGGAACAAGTGAGCATTCCTCTTGATACTTAATCCTAACTGGTTACAAATGACTTATGCCTGCCACAAACCTCTGACACAACTTGACATGCCATTTCAGTGTCAAGTGGAAGTATGTCATGGGAAAGATGGGGTAGCACTTTTCCCTATCGCTGCCTCTCTAAATACAGCTAGAAGCCCTAGACATTATATATAAAACAACATAAGATTCTGAAAGGTAGAGAGAATATAGCCTGGCTGGGGACCTCTGGACCTGAAGATCCACATAGCACAGAGTTCCTTGGGTTTTCCTTTTGCCTCATCTACTCCAAACTGGTTCTGAAAAAGCCAGCAACCCAGAAACACCAGTGGGTACAGACAAAAAAGAAGGCCTAAGAAAATTCTGCTCTGTCTAGCCAAAGGACTCAGAGAGGGGCAGCCTTGCAAGAGAGAAAACTTTTAGACAATAATCGCCCTACTCCAGCCAAAGGCCATGGGGAAAAAACTGTGTCACCAACCACACTAACAAAGGCCGAGTGGGGAGCCTACACTTCCACCATCACCAGGCTGTAACAAGGATCCCCAATGCCCCACCCCACCCCAGAGTGGTGTCAGAGAAGGTCAAGTGGGAGAGAGGATTTTCAAACCTGACCACTCCCCCATCCCACTCCAGTATGTCATTGGAGACCACATGGGGAGACTAGGCCTCCAACTCTACCCAGAGACAAGACATCTCTCCCCCTTCTTACTGGTTTTGTCAGTAGAGGCCTACTAGAGAGTCAGGACTTTCACCAATGATCAATAGTAATGAAGTTACTCCCCACCCCACTCCACGGTATCAGTAGAGGCCTAGTATCAGCAGTATTGAGGACCCCCGCTGCAGGTGTCAATAGAAGCCAGTGATGAACCTGGACTTGCAACACCAACTTACAGTAATAAGGCAGTGTCCCCCAAACCCTTTCTCTACCAGAGCAGAATCAGAGGAGGCCTGCCCAAACAGAAGCTTTAAACAGGATACAGAGTCTCATAACATAAAACTTAAAATGTCTATATTTCAATTGAAAATCACTCAACACACAAAGAACCAGGAAAATCTCAACTTGAATGAGAAGATAAACCAGAGATGCCAACACTGAGATGACACAGATGTTAGAATTACCTGACAAGGCTTTTAAAACAGCCATCATAAAAATGCCTCAATGAGCAATTATAAACATGCTTGACATAAATTTAAAAAACAGAAAGTCTAGCAAAGAAATAGAATACATAATCAAATGGAACTGTAAAATACAGTAACTGAAATAAAATCCAATGATGGGCTCAACAGCAGAATGGATGGAGGAAAGAATCAGTGAACTTGAAGACAGAACAATAGAAAAAACCCAATCTGAACAACAGAGAGAAATTGGCTATGGACTGAATTGCATCCCCCCTCCAAATTCATGTGTTGAAGCCCTAATCCCCAATGTGACTGTATTTGGAAATAGGGCTTTTAGAAGGTAATTAAGGTTAAATGAGGTCATATGTATGGGGTCCTAATCTGATAGGATTGGTAGCCTTATAAGAAAAGAAAATTCTCTCTATATAAATGCATGTGCCAAGGAAGGGCTGTGAGGACACAGTAAGTAGGTGGCCATCTGCAAGCCAGAAAGAAAGCTCTTACTAGAAACCAAATTAGCTAATAACCTGATCTTGGCCTTCACAGCCTCTAGAACTGTGAGAAATAAATTTCTGTTGTTTGAGCTACCCAGTCTATGGTATTTTGTTGTGGCACCCCAAACAGATTTTGGTGCCTAGAAGTGGGGTGCTTCTCTAACAAATACCCTTTGGAACTGGGTAATGGAAAGAGGTTGGAAGAGTTTAGAGGTACATGCTAGAAATACAGAAGTGAAAGGCCATTCTGGTTAGGTCTCAGACAGAAATGAGGAACACATTATTGGAAACTGGAAGAAAGAAGATTCTTGATGTAAAGTGGCAAAGAACTTGGCTGAGCTATGTTTTGGTGTTTTGTGGCAAGTAGAACTTATGAACAATGAAACTGGATATTCAACAGAGGAGATCTCCAAGCAAAGTATTGAAGGTGCAGCTTGGGTCCTGCTTACTGCTTATAGCAAAATGTGAGTGGAGAGAGATGAACTGAAGGAAGTGTTAAGCAAAAAGGAACTAGAACTTAGAGATTTCAAAAATTCTTGCAAATTTTCCCAGATTGCAAAAATATGAGAAAGCTTAATCTGAAGAGAACATTAAGGGTGTGGTTGAACAACCATTTGATAAAGAGATCATGAATGAGACTGGTAGACTTAATCAGCCATCTCAGTAGAAGTCAGGAATAAAAATGGGATTTTTAGCAGAAACACTGCCAGCTGGGACTAAAGGGGAAAGAAAAACTAGACATATAACGGAAGGCTATGGGACTTCTTAAATCCTACAGGACCAGACAATGGAGCTATTCAGCTGCAAATGTGCCCTATGTTTCAAGAAAAGGGAAGAATGAGTGTTGATTCAAAGATCAAGTTGCCTTTTCAGTTTCAAAGGGTGGGGACACCCCTTGCGTTTCAACAGTCCAGACAGTCTCCAACCAATGCTTTAGAGGCAGGGCTGCCCAGCAGACCCTTGGTGGCAGGACTGCTGCACCAGTGGGTCTGGAAGGTGGGATCACTGCCTCAGTGGGTCTTGAAGGTGGGGCATCAAGCCAAAGAGGATTATCTTCAAGGCGTAAGATCTCATGGAGTTTGTCTCGCTACATTTTGGACTTGCTTGGGACCCATCATCCCTTCCTTTTTCCCTATTTCTTTTTAGAATGAGAATATCTACACTATGCCTGTCTTATGATCCTATTTTGGAAGCACATAGCTTACCTGGTTTCACAGATTCACAGCTGGACAAGAATTTTGCCTCATGATGAATTATATCTCAAGTCTCACCCATATCTGATTTATGTGATATTTAGATGAGACTTTGAACTTTAGACTTTAAAGTTGATACTGGAATGGGTTAAGACTTTTGGGGTTGTTGGGATGGCGTGAACGTATTTTGCATGTGACAAAAACATGAACTTGGGGGGGGGGGGATGCCAGGGACAGAATACCGTGAACTGAATTATGTTCCCCCAAATTCATATGTTGAAGTGCTAACTCCCAATGTGACTGTATTTGGAGATACGGGCTTTGGGAGGTAATTAACGTTAAATGAGGTCATACACCTGGGAGCCTAATTGGATAGGACTTGTGGCCTTATAAGAAAAGGAAGAGAAAGTGAGCTCTCTTCCCACATGCATGCACCAAGGAAAGGCCATGTGAGGACACAGCAAGAATGCGGCCTTCTGCAAGCCAGGAAAAGAACCCTCACAAGAGACCAAAGTCAACACCTTGATCTTGGACTTCCCAGCCTCCAGAACTGTACGAAATTAATTTCTGCTGTTTGAGCCACCCAGTCTATGGTATTTTGTTATGGCAGACTAAGAAAAAATATATCAGGAACAAAAAAAAAAAAAAAAAAAAGAACAGAGCCTCAGGAACCTGTGGGACTGCAATCAAAGATCTAACATTTGTGTCATCAGAGTCCTGGAAGGAGAGAAGGGGTAGGGAGTGGGGGCTGAAAATGTATTCAAAGAAATGATGGCTGAAAATTCCCAAAGTTTGGCAAAAGACATAAACCTACAGATCCAAGAGTTCAGAAAACAGGATAATCTCAAAGAAATCCACACCGAGACATCACAGTCAAACTTGTGAAAACTAAGAACACAGTACTCAAAATATTTGCAATAATAACCTTCAAAGTTTCAATGAAAAAAATATATACACAAAGACGTCATCTGATCCTACCCAAGAGGAAAATGGTGAAAAGTAAGAATTTCAGAGTCTTTTCAAGTTTTTCACAATCTAATATGCAGTGTCGGTTCAGGTCTACAACTAAATTTTACTATGGTATGAAAAAGCCTAAGGTACAAACTACATACAACTGAGGTAAATCTTTATAAATAAGCACCTTCTCAGGTAACTCAGATAGCTTAAAACTGACTGAAAACATCAAAGGTCCCTTCTGTACTCTCCCTTTCTAGGCTGTCAGTCTTGGCCCTTAGAGTTAACATGATTCTTAGTAGGCAACGTCTCAGTAAACAAGGTCTAAAAGACAAACAGTGCAGAAGCAGACTGCCAGGCCAATATTCCTCGGCTTCAGGGTGGAAACTTTGCAACTGACCAACTAACAAGTCTGACAAATATTTTTCCTGGTTGTGAGTACTCACTTGAGTAGTTATCTCAATCAACGTTCCTTGAGTTCATTCTCCCAGCTCTTTTTCTCTATCCTTTCCATCTATCTCCTAAATGTCCTTGTACTTAAGACCAAGGACAACTTCCCTTCCAGCACCACTCCCAACCCTGGACAAACTCACTGTGAATTTTCAATCTCTTGATTTCTACCCCTGCAATTTCCCTAAAAGTAGCACTTATTCTTTAAAACTTCACCCCTTTAGCATTATGAGACCACCTAGCCCAGCAAAGACATCCTCTTTCCATCTCGGCATACCCTATTTCTCTCTCAAGGATTTGGTAGCTTACATATACATTAGGATGTTAGAAATAATTTTCTTCTTTCCCCAGGGAAATTCACAATGTCCTCCATTAGGACATTTTAAAAAATGTAAAACTCCTCTTTCGTATTCTAAGTAAGCTATGTCCCATATCAATGATTTCTCAATTAATATCTTTTTTGTAACACAGTCTTAAATTCCTTCGTAGCCCTCACAGCATGTATAGTAATTGTTCAATAAATATGCTCTGAATGTACTACATTTATATAGTTTTTATCCAGTATGAATTCTCTTTTGCTGGCCAAAGGCTGAACGCTCACTAAAGGATTTTCCATATTCCCTGGTTTTCCCTCCAGCATGAGTTTTCTGATGTTGGGAAAGGGATGAACTCTGGCTGAAAGCTTTTCCACATTCCTTACATTTATAGGGTTTTTCTCCAGTGTGAGTTTTCTGATGCTTTGTAAGAGATGAGCTCTGGCTGAATGCTTTCCCACAATCCTTACACTTGTAAGGTTTCTCTCCAGTGTGTGTTCTCTGATGACGAATAAGGGCTGAGCGGTCACTGAAGGCTTTGGCACAATCATTGCATTTATAGGGTTTCTCCCCAGTATGAGTTCTCTGGTGTTGAGTGAGGGCTGAACAGTAGCCAAAGGCTTTCCCACATTCATTACACTCATAAGGCCTCTCCCCAGTATGAGTTCTCTGGTGCTGAATAAGGCCTGATCGATCACTGAAGGCTTTTCCACATTCATTACACTTATACGGTTTCTCTCCAGTGTGAATGACCTGATGCTGGGTAAGGAACGTGCTTTGGCTGAAGGCCTTCCCACATTCATTACACTCATAAGGTTTCTCTCCAGTATGAATCCGCTGATGTTGAGTGAGATACGAACTCTGATTAAAGGCCTTCCCACATTCATTGCATTCATAGGGTTTCTCTCCAGTATGAATTATATGATGCCGAATAAGGGCTGAGCGGTGACTGAAGGCTTTCCCACATTCATGACATTCATAGGGTTTCTCTCCAGTATGAATTCTCTGGTGTAGAGTAAGGTGTATGCTCTGGCTAAAGGCTTTACCACATTCGTTACATTCGTAAGGTTTTTCTCCTGTGTGAATTCTCTGATGCAAGACAAAAGCTGAGTAGTAACTAAAGGCTTTCTCACACTCATTACACTTCCAAGGCTTCTTTGCTGCACAAATCTTCTCATGCCTCGTTAGATCTGAATTCTGTTTTAAGTTCTTTTTAAATGACTCACGATTATATAGTCTGTCTCCTTGCTGCTGAACATGTAATGACCTCCAATTAAAATTTCTTCCAGATTCATCACACTGGTAACCTCTCTCCCCAGAAGACTTCTTCTGAGTGACAACCTCTTGTTTTAAATGTTTCTCATGGTTTTCCCACTGACTCTCTAAAGAATCTTCACATTCACTGGAAGTGTCCTTTGGAAATCTTGCTATTAACACCCCAGGGGCTGATTCTTCTTCAGAAATGCCCTGCTCTGGAGTTAGCTCCTTGCTTCCTGGTCTTGTCTCCCTGTCTGAAAAAAACAAAAATACACACATATCATTTCCTACGTGGAGAGGAAAATAAGTGCTGTGGTAGGAAAACAACAAAACAAACGAAGAAACAAGCCTGGCTTGGAACCTTGCACCCAAACAAATTATTAACAAACATTAAAATGTTGATTTCATTTCACCTTATTTGGGAAAAAGAATTGGTCTGAAAAGGGTGGAAAGTATTTGCTTTCTAAAAAATAAAATTATGAATTTATAACAGATCATCATCCACAGAGCTGGAGTGTGGCCTGGGAGAAAGGAACTTCACTTCCACTTTCCATGGCTCTAGGGAAATCTGGAGAGGCTCCTCCAGAAGCATTTCAAAGAGGGTCCTTCCATTGCCCATCTGGGTTTTATGTTCATTGTTACCAACAGTCACTCACCTGGCCTAGTTGCTTTTGAGACTTCTCTCTCTGGCTCCTCCCCACACTCCAACTGAGAGATTACATCAGGCTTGGAAATTGGAAGCCCTGTTCGCGGGGAAAGAAAAAAGAGTCTGGGAAAGAGCTCACTCTTAACTCTTTGTCATTGGGGAAGACAATATAAGAGACAGAGAGGTTGGTTCTGGATTTCTCCCTCAGTAGTGCTCAGAAGAAGGCAGGAAGATTGATATGAGGTCTCTTTGAATTTAGAATAATTGAGTCACTTGTTTTTACCTCTCTCCATTAAAAGAATAAGCACCCATTTCTTAAGAGGTGTTTTCACTAGAATTTGTCTCAACATCCTTGGTCAATAAGTAGAGAAGAAGGATGCTATTGTCTGGGTGAATACAATAAAAAGGTGTCTATTTCTAACTTTAGGAGTGTTAAAACTATATCTAGAAACAAACAGCAGAAATTGTCTGTCTCACGCCTTTTGGAGATGAAGAATCTTTGAATCTAAGAACCTCAGAGCTCCTAGGAACTGAAGAAGCAAAGGTACCATGATGGGTAAATTCACAGGGGGAGGGGGAGACATCCTTACCCAGCAACACTAGATTCCTATGCTTCTCAGGCACATCTCCCTGAGGAGGGTTCAGTTGCCCCCACTGGGTGAGAGCCTCAGCCATATCCCTGATCATCAACGACTCCTGAAAAAACAAACACATCTGTGCTCAGCAAGGGACCTCCTTCAAGAGGCTTCTGAGAAGGACTCAAACTGACAGCATAGGAGATGGAAGACAGGAAGGACAGGAAGGTTAGATAAAATGACCTCTAACATCTCTTCCAAGACTAAGATTCTCTGGTGTATTTGTAGCCACAGACTCATTCCTTGCCTCTATGTATCAGAACTGCACGTTACTTACAAGTAGGAAGGAAAGCACCTTCAGTGTAAAGTCTGAAGGTACCAAGTTATTAGTTTATGTATCAATAAACTAAATTATAAGGGGTGACTGGGCACACATGTATGGTGATGGATGGTAATTAATCTTTGGGTGTTGAACATGACGTAGTCTACACAGAAATCGAAATATAATGATGTACACCTGAAATTTATATAACGTTATAAACCATATATACCTCAACAAAAAAATGAAAAAAAAAAGATCAATGCAATTAAATAAAAACCCTATAGTCTTTGGTGTGTGTGTGTATGTGAGGAAGATCAGCCCTGAACTAACATCTATTGCCAATCCTCCTCCTTTTTTCTCCCCCTTTTTCTCCCCAAATCTCCCCAGTAGATAGTTGTATGTCATAGCTGCACATCCTTCTAGTTGCTGTATGTGGGACGCTGCCTCAGCATGGCCAGACAAGCGGTGGGTCGGTGCACACCCGGGATCCGAACCCAGGCCACCAGTAGTGGAGCGTGCGCACTTAACCGCTAAGCCACAGGGCTGGCCCCAAAACCCTACAGTCTTAATAACAAAAATAAAATAAGTTATAGAAATCTTTCCTATTTAGACATGGGAAAGTGAAGAAAATATAATTATGAATTAAGTATTTTCTTTATGGTACAGTTTTAAAATATAAGAGATTCAAGAAATATGAAATATTTTCCTCTGAGAATAAAATTAGCCCAATATATATTTAAAATTAAGAAGTTTGCTACACATGTCACAGAATATAGATTTATTTGTAAAACAGTATCTCGTTCCCAAATTATTATGAAAATTCCCAAAGCGTTTTTGCCCTTTCTCGTAACAGCCCTGATCCGTCCGGCCCCTGCACCTACTCTCCACCCCATCAAACACTCCTCCTCCCACATTCTCTGTGCTCCAGTTGGAGGCCGTCTTTCAGCTTTCTCGAAACGTGTGTCACATTCCCTTTTGCCCCTTTTCACATGCAGCTTCCTGCTCCTGAATGTTCTCCCCCACCTCATCCTTTCAGGTATTTTAATCCCACTCACACTTCAGATCACAGCTCAGATGTTACCTCCTCAAGGAAGCCTTCCTTGACTCTCTGGGTTGCAGCCCCATGGTCCTTCCCTTCTCCTGGGTTATTCGCACATTGAGGAGACTTTGTGATTGATGTCTGTCTGTCCCATTAGATGGTAAGCTCCAGGAGAGCAGAGGCCAGGTCTGTTCTTGCTCAGTGAAGCAGCCCTAGTACCTGGCCCAGAGCGGGCAGACTGTAAATACTTGTCAGATAGTTGAATGAAGGAAGGAACACTTGAACAAGAATTACCAGAAACAACTTTAAATGGGGAGTTCTATAAAATGTGCATGAAAACATGTGGGGAGGGGAAAAGAAGTGTATCAAACATTGAAAACATCGCAGGGGTATTTAGTCCAGCTTAACCTTAATCTAGATGATGCGCACAAAGTTTAGACTGTCTACTAAAATGTGGGGCAAGGGAGCAGGGCAGGTAACGCTCCTTTGAATCTGTTTACTGCTGATAAGACAAATGTCTAATTAAACTTTTATAATTTTACAAAAAAATTTCTATACAACTTCAATTTAAATGAGACACATTACACAGACCAGTTCCTGGGATGCTAGCAAGTGCACCAATCTTCTCCCTTTTTGAACCACTTTTGCCATAGCCCCCTAAACATACACATGAATATAATGGTTAATTTTGTTTATATTCAGCATTCTAATGTTTATGACATAGCCCTCCAAAAACAATTGGTGAAACAATTCACATAATGAAATAAAGTTAAAAGAACTACCTACTTTGAAAATCCCCTGCTGCAAATAATTTAACTCTTTATTCTAATACTTGAAGTATGAAATCACTACCCTTTTTATTTCAGTTTATGGTCCGTTAAGGTCATATGAGTGATCAGTGTGCCTTAGGAGGGATCAACACAAGCAATATCATTTGTATAGTCTTCTTTCTTTACAAACAATGCTCACAGTAACAGATTAACTGGCAGTTCCTTTCAGACACTAGTTCCCTGAGAAAACTTCAGCAATCAAACTCGTTTATGCAGCTGCCGTTCAGTGCGCATGTGCCGGGGCTGGAAGGCAGAGGTGGACCAATCAGACACTGTCCAGCAGATGCTACTGACTCTCTCTTCCCTCTTCCCTCTGAAAGAGATCTACAAATTCAGACCAGCATCAGTACTGGCATCTTCTCCCAGTGTTTTACATGGATCATCAGTTCCTATGTGCTGTGAGGCCAGGTCTGAAGTTGACAAGTAGCCCCGGTGCCTTTACTACGGGGTCTGCCATTCTCCCAGTGTCCTAGGCCAGATCCTACAGAAGCATCTTGACTAATCTCTCTCCAATCAGTCATGGCATGTTTCATCTTGCTGGGCCTCTCAAAACCCTCATGGGGTCTTATATGCCTTTGGAATAAGACCCACTGTAGATTTTCCTGTGGTCTGGCTACAACATACCTGGGTTTCGCTCACCACACTCCAGCTCACACATACCCCTTGAAGACCTCAACCTCTCTCATCACTTGGAGACTCTCTTGCCAAAGCTGTTCTCTCTCTTGGAGTATTTCTGTATTCTATTCTCAAACTACTTACTTTGTGTTGTTTTTCAAAGTGCAGCTTTTATCCCAATATTTTTCCCCCAAATACTCTAGAGGATGGAAAACCTCTTCTAAGGCCTTTTGTGACTTGTCTGTACCAGTCACTTCTGCATTTAGAAATATATATATTTCTTCTTGCTGTTTAACTACGTTACTTATCTGTATCTTATCTCCTTAGTAAACTTCATGAGGCAGGGACAACTGGCTTTCATCACTTTGCATCTCACCATGAGGTCAATGACAGTACAGAGGAGCTAGTAAGCATGCATCAAGCACTAAGTGGATAGAGAAGTAATGCCAGGAGGGAAAGTCCTACACAAGTGAGGAGCATGTACTGTCAGGTTCATCATTCATCATTTTATCAAGATGAACCCAGTGATCTAGGAATCAGGGCTGAGTAATTCCCTAACAATGGAAGAAACCATATTTATATTCTGAGAACAGAAGGAAAATAGAAGAAGAAATCTAAACCCACCTGGGATGCAATGGTCAGCAGCACAGTGGTCATGCCATTTGCTTTTGGGTTTCCAGCACCAAGAAGGTCTGAGTCCTCAGAAAGTGACCCTAGAAGTGGAGATAGAAGCCATGACGATTACTCTTGCCTTGCAGTAAACTCGCAGAAGCTGTCATACATGCTACTTGTCACCTAAGAAGAGTCAATACAGGGAACCAAGGGACAATCCCACAACATCCCTGAATCAAGACAGCCATGACCATTGCTGCCTCAGGTTCCTCCTATCCTCCCCTGCGCTTAACTCCAGTAAACTCTGCTATGAGAATCTGGACACATAAATTAAACACATATTTCTATCTCTCATCTGCTGAGTGACAGCCAAAATAACACTCAAAGTCTCTGCATGTCAATCGGTGCCTCACTTAATGATTCATCCCTGTTCTATCCCAGGCTCATGATGAACCAACACTAAATTCTTTTTGAACACTGTCTTCAGATAGAATACTGGCTTTCTTAGAAAAGCGATGGGTCTTGTGGGAAAAAGTCCAGGATTCTAAATAAATCCTGTGACTTCTCAAAACCTCACTTCCCCACCTGCCAAATGGGTATCCTACCGCCTTATGGGGTTCCTGTAGGGACAAAAGGAAGTCAACATCAAAAGCCACACTGTCAGATCTGTCGACTTGGGGGGGCAGAGGAGGCGCACATCATCCTAAAGACCAGCAGGGCAATGCAGGGAGTGAGCTCTCCTTCAAAATCCCAACGTGTGACCAACTAGTAGGAAAGGGCTCTCTCACAAAGACGTGATGCTTCTCCTTCCCGAGGCTGCTCCAGCCAGAGGGCAGCCTTTCCCCTCTTTCTCTCCAGCGGGCACCGCGGCCGCATCCCTCCGAAATTCTCACCTCTGCTCCCCGGCTCCATGCGACTCCCTCCCCGGCCCGCGCAGGTGACCTCCACCGCAGGAGGAGGGCGCGGTGAACCCGCGAGGGGCGCGGGGGGTGGGTCCACTGCTTTCGTCCACCCAGAGGCCGGGAACGCGCGCGCGCGCGACCCTCGCTGGGCAGCCTGCGCCCCCCACACAGAGACACTCCCGCCGCCCTCCTTCCGGCCACTCAGACTTAGAAGGACACTCGCTCAGACCTCTTCGACCCCAGGCCCGCCGGACACGGAGGAAGCCCGGCCGGTTGACAAAGGCACCTAGGAGCCCGCCGGGCCCAGTCGCGCCGGCCCGAACTCTACGCTGAACTACAACTCCCAGAATCCTCCGCGGGGCGCGGCTCGCGTCACCGGACGCCGCTTCTCAGAGGACTCCGCGGGGCGCTGGCCGGGGGTCTTCCGCCCTCGGGCTGTGACTCCCGCGACGGCGGGTATCGGTACTGGGTCTCCAAGGGCGTTCGGCCCTTCAGAAAGCTCCTTCTTGGACACCTGAAGGGCCGGCCTCTCCTGGACGCCGACTCTGGACTCCGGCCCCGGAAGATGTACTCGGCTTCACCAAACCCCAGCTCACATGGGACATTCACTCCCCTGCAGCTGCAGCGGGCGGAGGGCGGCGCCCCCAGCCGGCAGGACCGCTCCGTGGCTGCTGTACTGCCTTCGGAGGGGAGGCACCACGTCCCCAAGGATGCTTACCCCACCGCCATCGCTTCCCCTCTGCTGCGCTGCCGTACAAGGAAAAGTGGAATCTCAGAGTGGCGGAAATCGCCTCAACCCAGAAACAGATCCCCAGGAAGTTGTTAGTTAATAACTGGTACCGCTGACCTCAAGGTGACTGGAACGAGAAAGTCTTTCAGACTCCATGGAGCTGTAGGAGCCACCGGCTGGGAGTGGGTGTGTCTTCAGGCTGATGCATGTTCCCGCTTATCTTCCCACAATCAAGTAGCCCATGTTCTATCTAGTTCAAATTCTCAAGAAAGGAAATCAGATTAGCCTAACTGTCCCTGTTTGGGTATAAGCCACAATGTCCGTTTGTCCTTTGTCTAATAGAGTTCCCAACTTTCAGCTGGGGCCTAAGGCTTCCCAGACTAAAGATTACATTTCTCATCATCCCTGCCTCTTGCCAGGGGGATGAGAGCAAAGTGATTCTTGGAAAGAGGAAAGCTCCTCCATGCTGGCTGGAACACGGACAAGTCATCGTGGAACACGTGGACACAGTTAACACCCTAGGAATGGCAAGCCAACAGGATAGAAGGGACTGAACCCTGACAATTTGGTGGAACGGCTCGTGCTTTAACATGAGAGAGATGTAAACTTCTGTTTTGTATAAGCTGCTATTATACTGGGTTTCTGCTAAGTGTATCTCTTAACTGGTCTATAGGTCTATAGATTGGACTGCTTTGGGTCCAATCAGCTAGGGCTGGGAGGAGAGAGGGCATGTGGTAGAGAAAGCAACCCTACAAGCTCAAAGGACAGCTGGAGGGGGCACCCCTGCCCCCTTCCATCAGCAAGAGATAAGGAGTGGGCAGTGTCTTTCAAAAAATGGTGTGTATGAAAGGCAGCACCAGTTGACATGTCTGGAACACCTGGGAATACCTTTCTTCCTTTTGTTAATGGTCTCTGTTGTTAACGCACAAAAGGGCACAGTCCACTCACCGTGAGACAAAAGCCAGTCGTCAAGAGGCAAGATGGTGGCAGAGAAAGGGCATTTTATTGCAGCTTGCTAGCAAGAGAGAAGATGGCCGACTAATGTCCAAAAGAACCATCTTAAGGGGGCACAAAATCTTACAGCAGTTACATAGGCCAGTGGGTTATAGGGGAGGGGATTAGGAATGTTGGCCCTCTGGTGTTACAGACTGGGAGCGCCACACCAGATCTTTCAGTTTTCATTGATGATGGCTGTCAGCGTAGACTCTCTGTTTGGGGGTCATCACATACCTAAGGAACTCAAAAGAACAAAGTTATCATCTTATCGCAGCAGGGGTCATAAAATCTACAGAGCAGTTAGATCTCCTGGAGAGTGCATATCCAGCTGGGTTAGTTAGTCAGAGGTCATTCAAAGTTACAATAGGGTTTCTTTTCTACAATATGGCTTCCCTCATGTCAACCTTGTGTTGAGCCGGTATCACCATCACAGAAATCCCCGTTCTTTTGTAACAAGACAATGGTCAGTTCTAAGTCCTCCTTTCACTTTACCAATCAACAGCAGTTGAAACTGACTCCTCCCTCCTCCTGGAAACACTATCTGGTTTTCCTCAGTCTCCTTAAGTAGTTCCTCCTCTTCTCCTAGCCTCTAAACCAAGGGCTCTCAAACTATAGCATGATCAGAATCACCTGGAGGGCTTGTTAAAACAGTGCTGAACTGCACCCCTATTCAGGATGTCTGGGGTGGGGCCTGAAAATTTGCATTTCTGAAAGTTCTCAAGTGATGCTGAAGCTACTGTTTGGGAATGAACTAAATGTTGGAATGGCCCAGGGCTCAATCCCTGGACCTCTCTTCTTTTTCTATCAACACTTACTCCTTAGTAATCTTGTTCAGTCTAGATGTCCTAAATACCATCCAGATGTGGTCAACTAACAATTCATATCTCTAGCCTGGGCTTCTGCCCTGACCTTAAGCTGTCTCCTCAACCTCTTTACTTGGATGTTTAATAACTATATCTACTGTAGCATGTTCAGAACTGAACTTTTGATGTGCTTCCTCCCCCACTGCTGTAACTGTTCCACTTGCAGTTTTCCCCACTTAGTAAATGGCAACTCCATCCTTCCAGTTGCTCAATTCAGACACCTCAGAGTCATTGTTCTTCTCTTTATCTCACAACCCACATCCAGTTCCTCCTCAAATCCTGTTGGCTGTGCTTTCAAAATATATGCAGACTCTGACCAGTTCTCACCACGTCCACCACTACCACCCTGATCTAAACATCCATCATCTGTTGCCTGGATCACTGCACATGCCTGCTAACTGGCCTCACTCCTACTCTTGCACTGCACATCCTATTCTCAACACAGTCGCTCCCGTATCTCAGAACAAAAGCCTAAGTCCCTACAGTGGCCCACAAGGCCCTTCAAAATCTGCCTCATCCACACCCACTAACTCTCTGATCTCATCTTCTACTACTTCCCCTTCATTTGTTCTGCTGCAGCCACACTGGCCTCTTGTCATTCTTCAATTAAGTGAAGGATGCTTCCACTACAGAGCCTCAGTGCTTGTTCCTCTGCCTGGATACCCTTCCCACAGACATCCACATGGCTTGCTCCCTCACCTCCTCCACGCCTTTGTTCACCTTCTCTGTGAAGCGTTCTCTGACCACACTTCTTCATTTTATCCTTTCCCCTTAGCACTTACCTTTTTTAACAAATAATTATTCATTTTGTTTATTGGGTGTCTCCCAACACACATACACCAGAGATGAAGCTCCACGGGGCAAGGAGATTCTTAGATGATCAATAACTGGGTGAGAGTATACTCTTCTCTGTACTTGTAGAGAAGATATAAGTGCCTGAAGCTAAGATGGTTCTTATTGCTTTTCTTGGCTTTGATTTGTGTGCTTTTGGAAAACTTGGACTTCCTTCATAAGCTTGCCTTTATTCACAAGGCCCTACTTTAGAATAATGTAGCCCTAGACACTAGCAGCTGGCCCAAGCACATACATCGGTGTCACACAGCAGTAGAGTGGAGTTGGAACACCTTGGGATAAAAACCCATTGGTCCCCAGTGAGTTCCCATTGTCTCTTAAAGGTGGATTGTCCTTGAGTTTTCCTAAATTTAGTGAGGGACTCTGTTTCCTTCTAGTCTGGCTTTGTGTTTGCCACAACATCCTGCCAGGAAAGCATCCTTGCCTTCCTCAAGAAGCTACAGTGCCATGAAAAGCCATTTACTTTGATGTGAAAGTTGATGTCAAGAGAGGTAAACAAGGAATCTGTTAATCACCGTGGAAGAGAGCAAAACTGAAAATGTGAAGTAAGGATTTGGAGGCAAACAGGTGGAGGGTTGAGGGACATGAGATTGAACAGAAGAGAGACATGCTAAAGGTCTCAGGTAGTGAGAGAGGAAGGTGGAGTTGAGACAGGAAATCAGGCTTGGAGTGAAATAGCAAAGGGAATAAATCAGGCATGAGTCCTGTTACTTCTGGGCCTCTGCACAGACCCTCAGCTATTTGCTCCTCCTCACCTGTCAGAGCCTATGAACCCACTCAGCCATTTGATTGCACCACCTGCAGCTGCACAGTTTTCTGCCTGGGAGTGCCAGTCTCTCCTCCTTGATCGTCACAGGCCAAACACTGCACACCTCAGGTTTCTGGCTCCTTGCACCACTTCCAGGCTTGTTGAAGTGCCACACAATGGGTTGTGGGATCTGGCTTCCTTCAGGGTGGCTGGATGATGCAACCTGAAAGTGTGAGGGAGACAGGAAGGATCTGATCAGATAAATTCCTTCTGCTTCTCTTTGCCCGTCAACTGCTCCAAGGCATGGTTTCTCCACATGGACTGGAGACTTCTTGCAGAGCCAAGAAGGCACTTGCTGAATAACCTACTATCTCTCTTCTCAGCCTGTTAGAAGCAGTGACCAAGGTAATTGATCACCTTGCTTTCCTTCCCATCCCTCCTTGCTTCACTTCCTTTTCCTCACTCTTGCTGCCCTAGGTTTGTACCTCATAAAGTGCCAGCTCTTAATCCTTGCCTCAGGCTCTGCTTCCTAGGAAATTTGGGTTAAGACTGGGAACATGGGCTTCTTTCATCTCCTGGTGTCTCTAATGGCCTCATTTTTTCAGGGGAGAACTGTGAGTCACAAGCAGAGGGATTCATGATGGGGCAGGAGCAGTTGTTAGGATGAGCTGATGAAGGCAGAGGCACAGGGTGAGACTTGGATCATGTAAGGAGGAGCCTGGAGACAAGCCACTGGGAGAGAATTATAGAGGGTCTCTAGTCCCAGCACCAGGACTTTCAAGGAAGCAAATACCTTAGTGTCAGTGTCCAAATGCTTAAGGAATCCTGAATGTATATTCTCTAATATACAGTAGCAGGAATTTACATGCACAATTTCTGACCATTCATCAGCAT